ATAAAGATAAATAATGGCAAAGACAAATATGTCATCATACTTTTGCTTTCGTTGTAGGAAATTTGAAATGGGACGACAATTTTATCATGCCAGTAGTATATATTGTGTAGAGTGTATATGTGGACATGTCTTTGCTCTACAAATTCATTTTAATACATAAAAAAAGATGAAATAAACCAATCTATTAAGCTCAACCTCGTCTAATGATTGTTGGATCCAATGATGCATGGATTAGTAAGATGTTTAAAACTTAACAATTAGTTGAACTAAAACGTTCAAAGAACCCGTCCCCATATAGTTTGTAGAAAGATTTGAATATGATTGCCTCATAGTAGTTCTATAAACTAATACTAATGTATGAGTTCAACATCGCTTCTACAAATTCGATATTGCAATTCAATATGTAATATTTAACCAATTATATTTGGTCTATAATTTTAAAGTTATCCTATATTTATAAGATAAATAGAAATTTAAATTGAGTATCAAAGTATAATTCAAAAATTAAATATGAAAATTGAAGTATCAAAACACCAATAAGTACCGAGCGAAGATTTAATGACCTTAATTAACCGTTGAACAGTTCTCAGATTTTTTAATTTTAGCTTCATATATATTTTTTATTTAAAATGATACAACTAATTTATATAATTTGATTGGTTAAGATTACTTTTTTACACAGAAAAATTTGAATGAAGGTGGAAGTTACCAATATTCAGCTATTAATATAGCTGTAGATATGGGGATAGGGAAGTGTGTTTTTTGTATGTGATTGGGCTTTGAGCTTATATATGTTCCATTCGATTTATGCGTGTTTTGGGCTAGACCTTTTATTTAACGGACTTAGATCCTTTTGTTGGAGTTGCTTTGCTTATTAAATAAGATTGCAGTTTAATAAAGCCCAAAATTTCCTATCCCTCACCCATTTCTGGCCCGTTTCCCCTCTTAATTTTGATCCAACCCATTTCTGGCTCGTCCTCTGTCACTTACCCGGCTCAAATTGGCATTGGCTTTGACTTTAGGTTACTCTTTTGTAGGAATGGCAATGGGCAGGTCCGGGGCGGGTTTCTTGGTACCCAGACCCGCCCCGTAGCAGGTCGGGTCCAGGTTGGGTAATTTATCACGGGTCACGGGTTGGGGCAGGTCGACCCAATAGGTAAGCAATTTATATGAAAAATATTAGAAATGTTCGTTATTTTTAGGGCTAATACCACCGGAAAACCCGAACTATTAACTTTGTGTCATTTGTGTCCTAAAGTATTCGATACGACAATTGTGTCACAACGTATGATAATTGTGTGCCATTTATGTCCTGACGATTTCGTTGACCGTTATAAATAACGGTTGACCAAACGGAAGTCAACATTAACATTGACTTTTGTTGATGTGGCAGCCACGTAGATGCCACGTCAATGACACCTCATATTTTTAATTAAATAATAAATAATAAAAAATTAATATATTCTTATAAAAAATTAAAAAAAATGTAAACTCAATTATCCCTCCCTCTGCAGTCGAACATTTTCCTTCGTCTCTTCACCTCCCCTCCCCCGATTACCTCTCCCTTCCTTCTCTCCATAGCCACCGCTGCTTCCGCCTCCTCCTACGCCGTCGCTGTCGCCGCCACCTACAAACATCGTCTTTCTTCCTCGAGGTGGACTCCTAGCTTCACTTTCCTTGATTTTCTCGTCTCTGTCCCTCTTTCCTTGAGACATGAGCGTCTCCTCCGCTCATCCCCAATACAAAAGCTAGCGATTGTGGATCGACATGTCTCAATCAACACCACCACACCGCCATAGTCAGAAACAGCCCAGTCGTTGTCCAAATCGGCGGTGATAGCTTCCACAGCCATCGCCGCCTTCTCCTTCAACGTCATAGATTCGGATTCAAGATCTCTTGATCTTTAATTTGACGAAGAACCCCATCATCGCCTGCTCATTCTCCGGCCAGTCAGCTGCTTCGTCGCCGGTAGGTTTTGATCATCGCGCTCACTTTACAGGTACCAGATCTAAGTTTCTCTCCTTATCTCTCCCTGTTTCGAGGATTCGATCATCTGTTTGGTTGCTGAGAACAGGGGAAAGGGAGAATTAGAGAGAGTGATCCATTCTTCTGGAATTCCGGTCGTGTGATTTTATCGGTGAATAAACGGTTGGTTGATCGCTAGGGTCTCCGATCTTCGGCGATGTTCGTTTCTGGTGTTCGATTGTGACCTTTTTTTAGTTCGTATTTCTTGCTTTGGATGAATAGTGGATCTTTCAGCTGCCATCGTAGTCCGGGGGACGAAAATACTTTGAATTTTGAGCTGGAATTTGTACCAGACGTTTCAAACTAGGTGGGGTTGGAATTTAGTGGGATAGGATTGAGATTCTTTCCTTTTGACCTGATCTGGGAGATGGAAATGGTTCGATTGATATTGAAATTGAGAGCTTTCCAGTGGGAACAGAAGGACATGGCGAGTGTGGGAGAGGAAGCGACGGAACGCGGTCCAAAACTTGATGTTTGGTATTTTGTGATTTGGGTTTGTAATTGGAGGAAGCAGGATCGGCCGGGGAGAAGCTGAAGAGCAGAGGGAGTAGCTGCAGATCTTCAGAGGGAGTAGCTGAAGAGACGATGGCTGGAAAGAGATCCTCACTTCCCTTTACTTATTTTTTATTTTAATTTAATTTTCAGAAACAATATTAACTAATTGAGAAGGAGATGGGTTTTTATTATTATTATTATTATTATTATTATTGTAATTTTGTAATTTTTTATATGAAAAATAATTATAAATTAATATTATAAATTCCACTTCAGATGCCACATCAGTGCTTACTGGATTTTCTGTTAAAAACTAACGGTCAACGCCGGTCAACTCTAACGGAGAAATAGTTTAGGACACAATTGTCGTATCGAATACTTTAGGACACAAATGACACAAAGTTAATAGTTCGGGTTTTCTAGTGGTATTAGCCCTTATTTTTATTATAAGACCATGGAAACAAACAATATTATGATAAATATAATTAAATTATTGGAGAAATTGAGGTTTTCACTAATTTACATCTTTATTGCAGCTAAAATTTGATTTAGTAAAAGGAAAATCCTAAGTAATTTGACTAAAATTAAGTGTAATTTAGGCAAGAATGGGTCGAGAATGGGGCGGGTCAGGGCAGGTCGGGTCTATGAGAGTACCCATGCCCGCCCCGCCCCACCTACGGGGCGGGTCGAACCCGCCTAAAACAGGTCAAACAGGTCGGGTAAAACGGGTCAGGTCGAAATTGCCATCCCTACTCTTTTGTCAATCTTGTTCCTAGGTTTCGTTCAACTTCTAAAATCAAATCTACATAGACTCTCATAAAAAAAAATCTACATAGACTCCAGTTACAAAAAAAGTCTACACGACTCCATGATCTAAATATTTGGAGTCCTTTATAAAAAAATAATATTTGGAGTCCTTTATAAAAAATAAAAAAAATTTGGAGTCCAACTTTGAATTAAAATTTTCATATTTATCTTGCCAAACATGATGTTTCTCCCTTAACCACCACTTAGTCTCGTTAGTGGTCATATTCTTTTTGATAAATATTTTTTTTTTTCGCATCATTAATTTGTGTAATATCCTTTATATTTTTTTGAATGTATTGACTCGTTTGATTAGGGGTGTGCAACGGACTGAACCGAACTAAACTCATAAGAAACGTGAGTCATTAGTGAAAGATATCTTAAGACCAAGGATCAGACCATCATCGCATTCGGTCCATTTAGTCCGGTCCATCATTTTTTTATTCTAAAATTCATAGGAACTAAGGACCAGACCGCATTATACTCGATCCGAGTAGACCTAATCATTGCACACCCTAAGTTCGATCCTGCTATTTTTCTTTCTTTAAGATATTTTGTCAACTCGGATAAACATAAAGCATACCATTCCAGATTTATGATACATTATTGTTTGGTACGGTAAACTAGGGCTGGGCATGCGGGCGGATCATCCGCAGGTTTGGGCCGACCCACCCGCATTTGACTCGAATTTCGTTAAGTGGGCGGGCCTGTGGGTGGGTGACGGGTTGCACTGGGAGCCATCCGCCGGGTGGTGGGTGGGTTGTGGGTGAGTGTGCGGGTGACCCGCTCAACCCAACAGCAAAAAAATCAAAGTCGTTGGCGCTAGAGAGAGGAGAGTGGAGACGTTAAATATAAACTCGGACTGCTCCTGGAGTTTGAACCTCAAAGCCAACCTTCCAAATAGAGATCCCCTCTTCTTCCCTTTACTTTTCCCTCTAATTCTTGTGCCTAGATCACTGCTCTTTCCTTTGTGGAATTATTTTCCTTAGTTCCTTGCACCTAATAATCGTCTCAATCTGTAGAAAACTCTTTTATAATAGAATTTCTATCCAATTTAAGAACTAATTCGATATTTTTCGCCCTATTGCAACTTCTGGTTTCCCTGGATGATTCTCTTCACCTATTATCATGTCAAGTTGACTCCTTTATATTATATACATTGTGATGTGGGTGAACCCACAAACCCACCCGCGTCATCCACCATCCGCCCGACCCAACCCGAGATTAAATGTGGGTGGGTGGTGGGTTAAAAATTATCAATTCGTTTAAGCGCGGGTGGGTGCATTTTATGGTCAAAATCCACCCGACCCACCCAATGCCCACCCCTACGGTAAACAACTAACAATATCATGGAAATAAAACTTATATGAAATCATCTAGATCACATACATCACAATATCACATTAGTTTTATTTTACTCACGTATGGATGCTTTCCGATTTCCACATAGACATAGTATTAGTATATATATCCTTATTATAACAAAACATCAACAAAATTAGAAAATTTCCCTGCTTCGGTCGTCAAAAAAACTCTTCGGGTTACCTCCAATCCAGTCAATAACTCTGCTCACAACCACGTCATTATTCCGCTAATTACAGAGGATTTTGACAGGAGATAAAAGTTTGAAGGACAAAAAAGGAAAACTAACCGAAGGTGAAACGTTTCTGAGATGACTCAAATATCAGAGGGGATCCGATTAAAAAAAAATATAAAAATCAAAGAAACTTTCTTGTTTGCCATTATCTCTCTGTGTCTCTAGATTGCCTCCAAATCTCTCTCTCTCGGCAGATCTCTTGGAGTTCCGGAGAATTCTCAGTTCCGATCAGTTTCCGGGAATCGGTTCCGATCGGTAGTGCCGAGATCCTGTCCACTCAGTTGAGTGATTGGCAGAGTTTGGCTGGCGCGGGGGCGGAAAATTCTGTAGGTCCATTTGTGCGGCCGATGAATATAGCGGTTTCTCGCTGTGGTATACGAATCGGACGATGAACGATGCCGGAACTGCGTAGTGGAGCGCGTAGGGGACGGCGACCAGCAACAGCAAAGAAGGCAAGTCCTATCGTGACAGGGGAGGCGATTGCGACGAGGACTCGACGAAGGCGTGCGGCGGCGGAAGCGGGGAAGGACTTGATTAATCAGTTAGACCAGGAGGCGCCTGCAGCTGTGGATGAGAACGTAGTAGTGCCTCTTGTTGGTGGTGGCGCAGTTGCAGCGGCGGCGGCGGCGGCGGCAGCGGGAAAAGCTGAGGAGAACAAGGGGGTTGAAGGGGACAAAGAGATGGATTACTGTGGTAGTGGTGGTAGGAGCAACGATAAGGGAAATGCTGGTGATGATGAAGGAACCAGCCCCATTCCAGAGAGGGTTTGTCTTTCCCCTCTCTATTTTGACGTTGTTGCAACTGAGGTCGTAGCTCGTGATGTTTCATAGTTGTCGGTCTTTTGAGTTTTTCCTGCTAATCAGATTAGGAAATGGATGGTGATTGTTTAATTTTGTAGTCGTAATGCTATTGATTGGTTATGGTTCTAGGCTAGTGCAGGTAAAGGGAGGGAATGATTGCTATATTTTTGTTCTATTCTGATTGGCGTGCTGCAATGTGTGTTTGTTCTGATAGAAAGTTAGGGACTTTTGTGGGATGGAATTTATGATTTGAAGGATTAAGCCCCAACTTTTGAGTCGATGTTCGTTCTTGAGCTTGTTCTGGTAGGATCAGATGCTCTGTGCTTGTATACTGCCTATCAGGGTCTAATTGGTTGATAAAAATCGAGTCTTGCTGAGGAAATCGGGTAGTATGGCGAGTGACATTGTGTTCCGTCTTTGTTCTTGACATGGAATGATCTGAGTCCTTGTTGCTGTATTCAGTATGTGGCTCCTTGTTGCTGTATCCCGTATGTGCCTCCTTGTTGCTGTATTCCGTATGTGCCTCTGATCATGGATCCTGATCTATCGTCTTGTGACAATTGGCTTATATGTATGTGTGCTGATAACATTGGTTCTTTTGTGTGTTCGATGGCTGAATTTGGTAACTTCATGCTAAAAGCTGAATGAGTTATGTACCAAGGAACACAAAAAAAATCGCTTTCAATTGTATTAGCTTTTGCCTACTGCTTATTAAGAGCTTCACCACTGGCAGTAATCATGCTGTTATTATTTGATAAAAGATATACAAGATATGGTCCAGATGGACAATCATTTGTTCATAATTTAAGCTAAGAAGGGGTCTTCTTTTGGTTTGTTTCTTCAAAACATGCTTATTTTGTCTTCCTAATGTGACAGGTTCAGGTTGGGGGTTCACCATTGTACAGAGTAGAAAAGAAGTTGGGGAAGGGAGGTTTTGGTCAAGTATACGTCGGTCGACGTGTTGGTGTGTTAAATGCTAGTGAAAGAACTGGCCCGGGTGCTGTGGAGGTATGAGTATTATCTTGTGTCTTTTTGAAAGTTGTTTGAAGTTGTTTCAGTGTTCTCTTGTTTCTATATAACATCAACCTTCTGACTTTGTACCTCAGGTGGCACTAAAATTTGAGCATAGAACTAGTAAAGGGTGTAATGATGGACCACCCTATGAGTGGCAAATTTACAGGTGGATTATATTTCCCTCGTCTGGTTTGTTGAATTTACGGATATGATTGCGCAGAATATTTCATGTTGATTTTTATTTATGCAGCAACCTTGGTAGCTGTCATGGTGTTCCACGAGTTCACTTCAAGGGACGGCACAGTGACTATTATATTATGGTCAGTGTTGGCCGTTGTTTATGCTTTGTCATTTAGATCCTGCAAAAGGTTTCTATTCTAGACACGTCCTGATACAAAGTATTTTTTTAAATCCTGTAGGTTATGGATATTCTTGGGCCAAGCTTGTGGGATGTTTGGAATAATAACTCTCACACGTGAGTTCAAGTCTGCAATAGTTGGTTATGGAGCATTGTGTTCTTTCATTTATTCTACCGTTCAAATTGAGGTGTTTACTTTTATCGCTAATAATTGCAGGATGTCAATAGAGATGGTTGCATGTATTGCCATTGAAGCAATATCAATATTGGAGAGGATGCACTCTAAAGGGTGAGTATTGCTGGTTAAGATTGATTATCTTGCATTTCATAGTTCTATACTTCTATTGCGCACAGATAGCATGTATCTTTTGATACACGGAGTTTCTTGCATAACGATGTTACTTCAACTAGTTCCCCTTACTGCTTAATTCTATGGAGGCGCATCTTATTCTTTGAATCAATTAGCTAACTGTTGTATCTTTTGCAGTTATGTTCATGGAGATGTTAAGCCTGAGAATTTCCTTCTTGGTCAAGCTGGAACTCCCGATGAAAAGAAGCTCTTCCTAGTGGATCTTGGATTAGGTAAATTGTGAATCGCTTTTTTTGCTTTGTTTCTGTTTCGAAACTTTTATCTTACTGTCCGTTTTTTAATTAGCTGCTAGATGGCGAGATAGCACAACTGGTCGGCATGTTGAGTATGATCAAAGGCCAGATGTTTTCAGGTTAGATGCTTGAACTGTAATTACTGAGTTAAGTGTCAAGTTGTCATTTTGCTGTTTTTAGGTATGAAAATCTGTTCTTAAATAAGCTGCTGCTGTTTTTTTTTTCTTTGTGTGCAGAGGAACGGTCCGTTATGCCAGCGTTCATGCCCATTTGGGGAGAACTGGAAGCAGGAGAGATGACCTAGAATCTCTGGCTTACACACTTGTTTTCCTTCTCCGTGGTCGTTTGCCTTGGCAAGGATACCAGGTTAGACTTCATGTTTGTTGCGCTTATAGTGCTCAAATCAATATGAACTATTTTTGCGTTATAATTACTTCATTCCCTCATCTGAAATATGTTGTTTTTAGGGGGAGAATAAAAGTTTCCTTGTCTCCAAGAAAAAGATGGCCACATCCCCAGAAGCGCTTTGCTGCTTCTGCCCAGTGCCTTTCAAAAACTTTGTTGAATATGTGGTGAATCTAAAGTTCGACGAGGAACCTGATTATGCAAAATGCATTTCATTCTTTGATGGGGTCGTGGCTCCAAATCCAAGTGGGCGCCCAATTAACACAGATGGTGCTCAGAAGGTACTTTCTCAGAAGCTACTGGGCTACTTGAGTTGAGCTTCCTCGAAAACAAAAGAATAAGGAATCTTCTTTTTCTTGACTTGTCTGTCTGTTTGAAGCTCCTTTGTCAGGTTGGTCAAAAGAGAGGACGGCTGACAATGGACGACGATGAAGATGAACAGCCTAAGAAGAAGGTTCGGATGGGGATGCCGGCAAGTCAATGGATCAGTGTGTACAATGCCCGCAAGCCCATGAAGCAGAGGTATGAGTTGTCAGTTTGTGCTGTAACCATTTCGTGATGAAGGGATTGCTGTATACGTAGGTTGACGACGAGTTTGTGAACTGTATATTGTTCATATAATGTTTGTAGGTACCATTATAATGTTGGTGAGCCAAGGTTGATTCATCATATTGAAAAAGGAAACGAGGATGGATTATTCATCAGTTGTGTTGCTTCAGCTCAAAATTTATGGGCACTCATCATGGATGCTGGTACTGGTTTTACCGCACAAGTCTATGAGCTCTCACCACATTTTCTTCACAAGGTACGTCCTCTGTTAACTTAGAACTGCAGAAGTATCTGCCATGACAGCTTTCACTGATTTTTTGTTATTATTAACTGATTGGTGAAGGAATGGATAATGGAGAACTGGGAGAAGAGCTATTACATCACTGCCATAGCTGGAGCTACCAACGGAAGCTCATTCGTTGTAATGTCTAAGGGTCAGTATCAATTACCTTACTATTGTCTTTCTTCACGTTTTCTTTTTGTGTGGAACGCAAGCCTATTGACGGACTTGGTATATTTGGCTGGAATCTAGGTACACCATATCTGCAACAGTCCTACAAAGTGAGCGATTCATTCCCTTCTAAATGGATCAACAAAAAATGGAAGGAGGGGTTCCACGTCACCTGCATGGCTACATCGGGGACTAGATGGGCAATTGTCATGTCTCGGGGAGCAGGATATACTCACCAGGTAGGTCTTGACGTGGTTCTTCACAATTTTTGTTTGTATAATCTCAATCTATTCATTTCATGAAAAGACCAATCAAACCGTTACCATATTCCTCTTCTTCTCAATTTCAGGTGGTGGAGCTGGATTTCTTATACCCCAGCGATGGGATCCACCGACGGTGGGACAAAGGGTACCGCATCACGTCCACTGCAGCGACCTTGGACCAAGCGGCATTCGTCCTTAGCATCCCCAAAAGAAAGCCCAACGACGAAACGCAGGAGACCCTTCGAACTTCTTCTTTCCCAAGCTCTCATGTCAAGGTTTGATCTCTGAACCAGAATCTAAACTGTCCCCAACAAATCTGAGTGACTGTTTTATATGCAATCTAATTTCGTGCGCATTTTTTGCAGGAGAAATGGGCGAAGAATCTGTACCTTGCGTCGGTTTGTTTCGGAAGGACAGTTTCTTGAGCTGTGTTCGTATGCAGCTGGAGCTGGACAAAAAGAGGCACGCTACTTTTAACTATCAGGAAATTGTAGATGCCGGTTTGGTGGAGCTTATTGTATAGTGAAAGTGAATTTTATGCGACTCTTAGACTGGATCTGGATATGACGGAAGAAGCACAGACCTCTCGATTGTTTCTGTGCACAAAAGTAGGACTTTTTTTTGTTGGTCTTTTTATTTTTCTTATCAAGTTTTGTACAGTTTCTTCAGTTGCGTGTTAATGGCTAAGCTACCGTTTTTGCTACAAAACCTTATGCGTTCTCTCTGAAGATGCGAGTTTTACAGAGGGATGCTACTTTGTTCACCATCTGATGCAAATCTACGAGGGAGAAGAATACCAAATTTTGAGTTTGATTAGGTTTGCAACGTACTTGGAAGAAATGCTGGCCAACGACATAGTAACTACTTAAACTACTTTGTTATTATAGTAGCTAAATGTATTCAAAAGAAATACAACTGGACTTGTTGATTATTAGTTTATTAATCATTCAACAGCTTAATCAATCCTCCTTAAAAAGAAAAAACGAAGAAAAAAACAACTTAATCATAGGCTTAAGTTGACTTGTTCGTCAAGCAAACGAGCCCCTCTTGATCCACCCCCTCTAGAAAAAGATGCTTTTAGGAGGAAGTTGTATTTCCTCCCTGTTATTACTTTCCTCGCCTGCTGGCCTGCGACATATCCACTCCAATCCAACTTTATCCTGGCATTACATTAGAGTGAAGCCATGAGAAAAACACTAAGGTTTACAAGCAACGAGAAACCTAAGAATGCCAGATTTCTCTTTTCATACCTCGGCATGATCAAGGAGATAGCGAACTAGGAAGATGCAATCACACCTATCCGAATCATGAGGACCCCTTCGGATCTCCACTATGCGAGCATCATAATAAACTGCTTGCTCATATCTTTCCTGTTAAACCACAAAACCATAATGATATTAGTTGGTTTCCTTCTGTTGCTACCTTGCAAGTCAGTGCAGTTCTGAAAATCATTGATTGTGAGGAAAAGTAAGGGAGCAGCATGTACTCGGAAGCACATGATGAGATCTCCAACTTTGACCAGGTGGCATTCTGAGGGCTCCAGAGGAATAGATCTTTCACGCACACCTGCCTTAAGATTCACCCACTCATCTTCGGTATTTCGGAAGCCAGCAAAACGCACTCGCACCTCCTGTGGTAGACCAAGAAAACCGAAAGGGAATTTTCACAGAGGTTCATTGTGTCACAAGGAACATAAGATATTCTGTAACATAGTTGGATAAGTGAGTTTGAAATGCTAGAGGACACTCACAAGCTCACCAGAATATAGAATTCTGTAGTTAAGGAAACAAGCAACATCGTACCTGGACACCACATAAACTTGGGTTATAACTGCCTGTACAATATCCAAAAGCTATTGAACGTTCACCAGATAATTTTGACACAACACAGCAATAGGCAGTCTGACATGACCATTATATTGGAACATCAACCTAGGTTTTAACTAGGTTGGATGGCGGGTACCTGGAAAGCACTACGCATGATATTGATATCATGTTTAGGGAATACACAGATATAAGAATCTGGAGTGTTTCCCCGATGAAGGTACTAAAATAAATAATCAGAAAAGATTTGATACTTTTTAACCAGGCAGTACAGTGCTTGTTCTTATTAGAAAATGCTAGTCTCACCAAGCAAAGTCTTTTGACGATTTAGCTTCGAATATCAACTCCGAGAGATCAGGAGCCTTTGACCCTGCATAATCCAATTCACATTGAAATATCTGTTAGAGAATGGTAGATAAAAGGAAATGCTTTTTCATTCACAAACATTTTAATGTCAAAGGAAGCAACCCTTTGCTTCATTGGTCCTTATAAAAAAATAAAAGCATGGAAAGTGACTCCTTATCAGTTAAGCATCACAAACCAACTGACTGTTTGGTAAAAAGTAACATCTTGGATTCTAGTTACACAGATACAACAATAAGTTCAATGGCTAGCCTACTAGGGGAAAAGAGGGGAAGAAAGAAAATGTGTAGGGAAACAATTCAGTTAATCTAATAAGCAACTGGGTCTCTAGATCTTGCTAGTCATTACATTACATTAGACAATTTTGGTGTCAGTATGCGTTATAATCAAGTGATGGTAGGTTATTTTTCCAGTAAAAATTATGTTACGTTACGTGGTAACTTTTTGCCAAAGTTAATAGGTTACCTTCTTGGCAATATCAGTGTAATTATGATTTAAAATGATGTTCTTCCTATGCAGCTCATCATAACCATCTACACAATACTCTCGGTAATTATCTTATAGAAGTATCTTCACAAATCATGGGCAAGAAACAAGCTTATGTCTTCCTTTATATAAGTACTAATTCCCTGATCCAAGCTTTTAGTGTTCAAATACTATACTGGCAACCTTTTTTTATGTCAAAGCTTATGGGAATGTTCATACGCATTCAGTCGTCTAGATTATGCATAAACAAGACAAAGACATTATTCCTAAAACATCTTAAGAGTTGCATCTTGAAGTTCATTTGACCAATGGTAAGTGCAAACACTGCTGGTTTAGAGAACCTTTACGCTTCTGAAAGCTTATGAGTGGTGCACTCTCCACAACAGCAGCACCATTTGGCAGGTCAGCGCGAAATTCAAGACGCAGAGGTTCGAGAGTAGCTTCGGGCTCAGGATGTGTCCGCTTATGTTTGTCCTGAAACCAATTATGCACCTGCAATGCAAAGAATGTCAAGATATGTACTCACAGTCATATTAAGCAGATTCTAAGAAAATCCTGAAAGGAAAGGAACCTCCAAAGAGGGAAAAGGTTAAAGATACCTGCTGCCATGTTATGGCTGGCTTTCCAGCTCGATTTGGGGATAAACTACAAATCATATAGCAAATGTTCATCAACAATGAGGGAAAAATAAATATTGGAATAAAAGAGCAAGAGGGATTAATTACCTAAAACTGGAGGCAAGCCCTTTGCAAAAATCAGGAGCTAATGTCTCTTCCCCAATTTCCTTGTATATGTTCTTCATTTCCACCATCTATCATTTTCTCATCACAAACAACCACCGTAGGTCCCGTCAGTCTAAAATCAAACAAAAATGGGGCTCCCTAAGTTTCAACAACCTCACAAGAACAGAACTCAGTCATTGGACAGCCATAGAGCCTCGCAATACCAAAATGAAACCATCCAAGTCGATATGGAGTTTGGATTTCATGTTTAAGCTGAAGGAAATCCCTTCTACGCCACGAAAATGACAATCGAGACTATCCCATTATCGGAAATGAAACATCGGAAGTTGGGAATTTGGTTGAAACCAGCAATGATTAAAAAAAGTTTATTTTGTGAGGGAGGATTCGGAAACGGAAAAGTAAAGGGTTGATTGACAGAGAAACCGAAGCTTTTGTCTACCTCAGCGATGGTGAATTCTGAATCGTCTTCCATGGCTGCTGGGCGAAATGAGGAAACGGCGGCCAGCTCACAGAAGAAAAGGTTGGACAAGTGTGTCAGTGAGAGTGAGAGTTCTCTATTCCGGTTTTACTTTGCCAACGGCGGGCTGTTAGAAATGCTGGAAAGAAGGGATAATTATATACCATGTCACTTTACTTTGTTACTTGTACAAAATAGTCATATAGCTTCTGTTTAGTACAAACGGATACCGATAGTATGATAGTTTCAAACTTCAAGGTGCTTTTTCGTGAGACCTGCAATGGTTTGGTTCACACTAGGGCTGCAAACGAGCCGAGCCGAGCCGAGTCGAGTTTTTACTTAGTTTGAGCTCGGCTCGTTTATAAATTTTTTAGCTTGAGCTCGGCTCGAACTCGAATTTTGATCACCCAGCTCGAGCTCGAGCTCGACTCGATTAAAAATAATCCAGCTCGAGCACGGCTCGATAAAGCTCGGTAAATGCTCATTAACACAGCTTGTCAAGCTGAGTACAAGCTCGGCTCAAGATAAGCTCGATTTGAAACCATTCTTGCTGAAAAATGTGTACAAATAAGAACATTGGAAATTAAAAATGATAAAAAGAACACTAGAAACTAAAAATAACATCTAACTTCCATACACATCCTTATTAACAAGATAATTTTCATGTTCAGAAGAGTAATTAATCCTTCCACAAGCTTTAAACAAGTCAACTCGCGAGCTTAACTCAACAAGCCACCGAGTCAAGCTAGCTTACGAGCTTATCAAGCCGAGCATGGCCTAGCTCAAGCTTGGCTCGTTTACTAACGCGAGCCGGCTTGTTAAACAACGAGTCGAGTGTCGAACGAGTTTTTTCCGATTTGAACGCCGAGTTGCTCGCGAGCGGCTTGGCTCATTTGCAGCCCTAGTTCACACCGAAGTGCATCTGACCAAAACAATATTTGGACTCAAGTTACTTTACTTTGTTATTTGCATGGTCCATAAAATCGTACTGTACTGGTGGTTCAACCACGAAATATCAGTACTGGAGGTTAAACCGGTATGTGGTATTTAACAGTACTAACGGTTGAACTACGATTAAACCACGGTTTTACCATAAAATACCCTATCGATGACTTTCCCGGTATGGTCTCCGATACGGTTTCATGGATCATGGTTATTTGTACAAAATAATAATATAGCTTCTATTTTGTACAAACAGAAACTAATAGTATAATAGTTTCGAACTTCAAGTTACTTTTTCATGATACCTGCAATTGTTTGTTCTAGACTGATGACTCACTTTTACTGTCACACTAGAAAGTGGCAAGTGTAACCACCTACTAATGCGTAGTATAGCTGGTTTAGCTTTATTTGTCAACTCCGGTCCTAGGTGTGATGACTACTCTATGAGATTCTTGTTATCTAGTTGTTTAACTGTAGTGAAGGTATAACTAATCTAACCAAACACAAAGCAACCAAGTTGTGATTCAAGTTTGAGAGAGGTCACCTAGATATGGTTCCCCCTAGATTGCAGTTAACCCGAATTGTAATTCACCATGTCCAGAACCAATGACAGTTATACTGCAGAAGGTTCTTAATCCGTTTGAAGTCTCGACTAAAGGTGTCTAGACCCTCACAATCTGAATACCCGGTGGGCGACTAACCTCCACCGGAGTAAACAAACTGAGGCCCTAAGGTGCAAAACCTCCTCTAATGGAGTGAATCCAGTACATAGTAGTGAATTGACTCCTCGACTAAAGTAGTCAATTCACCACCTTCAATTAAGGGTGCTCTATCAACCTAGGCCTATATTCTCTTTCTATGTCAAAGCAGAAACTACAAGAATGTGATAAGGATTCATGCAGTTCAGAAATCATAACTCAATTGAATATAATCAATGTCAAAAGATCATGTACTTGGGTCCATACAATCAACCTAACATACAAATCTAAAGTTCTTCATACCCAAGTGAGAGAGGTAGTTTACACTATGGAGAGAGAAGAGAAACCAGCCTCAGATGCAGAAATCATCTTGTGGAAGATGATAATCAGCTTCTGGTTGTCAATCAGTGCTTCTTCAGGCTTCAATCGAGTTCCAATGGTGTTGAATCTCAATCTAGGTCACCTTGGAGAGTGGGTTCGTCACTTTCTCTCTCTAAAACTCTGTTTCAGCTCTCAAAACTCGGATCCCTTCTCAAAGACTCAAAATTGGGTTAAAACCCAACTCTGCCCGATTACACAACCAGGCCACACGATCGTTTAGAAATCCAGTCTGGCCGTGTAACTCCAAAACACGCCGTTGCACTTAGTTGGTCAAGAGAAGTCACATGGCCATACCACACGACCTCTGGCAGCGTTTGCACTTGCGTGCCAAGGTGTCAGCGTCCTTGAAGAGTGAGGGCCAATAGAAGCCCGACTGCAGTACCTTCCTTGCCGTGCGGTTACCTCCATGGTGCCCGTCAGTAGGTCCCTCATGGCAATGAGATAGAATGCCTCTTCTCATTGTCCATGACACAACGACGGATAACCCCGCCGCCTCCAATCATGAAGTACGGATCATCCCAAAAGTAATGCTTCAGGTCAGAGAAAAACTTCCTTTTCGTGTGAGTCGTCATCCCCTTGGGCACCTGCTGCTAGCCAATAAGATAGTTCGCGAAATCGGAGAACCAATGGGTGTGACTCGCTCCTACTGTCACTCTAGAAAATGGCCAAGTGTAACCACTTCCTAAAGCGTAGTATAGCGGGTTCGGGTTTTAATGTCAATTCGGGTCCTAGATGTGATGACTACTCAGTGAATTCTTGTTATCTAGCGGTGAAACTTTAGTGCAAGTACAAATTAACAAACAAACAAAGCAAGTTAAACGGTTGTTTTCAAGTCGAGAGAGGTCACCCGGATATGGTTCCCCCTAGACTGCAGTTAAGCCGGATTGTAATTTACCAAGTCCAATTTCAATGATAGTTATACTGCGGGAGGTTCTTAAACAGCCTGAAGTCTCGACTAAAGGTCTCTAGACCCTCCAGCGGGCGACTAACCTCCACCGGAGTAAACAGATTGAGGCACTAATGAACAAAACCTCCACTACCGAAGTGAATTCGGTACAGAATAGTGAGTTGGCTCCTCGACTAAAGTCACCAACTCCCTACCTTCAATCAAGGGTGCTCTATCAACCTAGGCAGATATTCTCTTTCTAGGTTAAAGCAGAAACAACATGAATTTGATCAGGATTCATGCCATTCAACAGTTCAAACCTCAATTGAATATAATCAAATCACAGAATCAGTACTTGGGTTCATACAATCAGACCTAACATGCAAATCTAGGGTTCTCCATACCCAGATGAATGAGGAAGTTACTCCATGGAGAGAGAAGCAAAAGCAAGCTCCGATGCAGAAATCATGCTGTGAAGGATGAGAATCTGCTCCTGGTCGTCAATCGGCACTTCTCCAAGTGTGAGCCGAGCTCCAATGGTGATGAAGATCAAGCTAGGGCACTTGGGAACTCTGGTTCGTCGCTTTCTCTCTCTAGGAATCGCTTTCTTTCTCTAAAACTCGGAACCCCTTCTCCTTTGGCTCAAATCAGCCTAAAAGGCCGAACCTGGGCAAAACACGGTCGAGGGCACGACCGTGCTTTGCTTTTGCCCGCCCGTGCCATTGCCACGTGTTAAAAACACGCCCACATCTTGGGGAAAACACGGTCGTGCCTACAGTTGGACACGGTCGTGTTTTCTGTCACTCCCGCCCGTGTTTTGGGCCATCACGGGAGCCTCTTGTGTCAAGCCTCGGCAGTAAAAACACAGTCCAAGAACACGGCCGTGTTTTGGTTTAGTCCAGCCCGTGCTTTTTCCTTCTCACCAGTTCAGCTCTCGGCAATAAAAACACTGGCGTGCTTTTTGGTGTACACGGCCGTGCTCTTCAGGCCTCCTGCCCGTGCTTTGGCCCCAGCTCGACCGAATGACTTCCAAATGCCCCGAAACTCGTGGTTAGCCTTTCCTTCGACGTTTGGGACCTGAAATATGACAAAGTAGCACAACCCGGCGTAAAATAGGCAAAAAACACACGACTATGCCCCGCAAATGGATAAGAACTAGGGGTGCAAACATGTGCAATTACATCGTCATCAAACTCCCCCACACTTAACCGTTTGCTTGTCCCCAAGCGAACCAAGTCAGATACAAGGTAAGCTCAACACATTTCAATCATGCAACCCTTGAGGACATATCATATAGGCACGAAACACGGGAATCATACTGGCTTTTAGACATCAACACATGAACAACTACAGCAGCAACCTAGACAACCACCACAGAAGACATTCGAGTGCAGCAAAATCGAGTAAAGGAGGAGTCTCCCTTCTGTTCATCGACCAACATAGACTTGACTCAACCACTTACTCAAGACAGTCACCTTATGCACAAAACTCAAGATATCAGAATTGAGACCGAGCAATCTAGGTCCTCACCGGGATAAAGAGTATAGAGAATATGATAAAGGAATCGCTCACTCTCGACCAGTGGGGTCAGGACAATTTGATGCGAAAAATTCGCATGCTTATTCTCTCAATCCCTAACGTCTCTTCACCATGAATGCAGCCTCTAAATGCTAGAGTTCACATATGGGGTGTCACCACTAACTAATCCGGAGGTCTTAGACACAGGTTCAAATGACTGGCTAGGGTCTTGGACATGGGGAAAAGGCCTTTTAGGTGGTGGAAGTATTCATAGCACAAGGTTCCACAATTCCAAACCCAACACAATTACAACCAATCAAACCACTTACTTTCTTTCTGCCATTCTGCATTACTCGAGTTCTTAAGAGCACAAGAGCGAAGGAGGTCAAATAAATGTCAGTACTTCCAAGCCAGACTGCTAAGAAGCACTACTTAACGGGCACTATTCAGATTTTCGTGGTGATGGCTTTCTTTTGCTTTCATTCATATCTTTCTTTTCTTTGTTTTTTTTTTTCATTTCTTGAGAGAACCACCACCTATTCACATTTTTCAAGCACATGCCCAACTTTGTAAGAAATACCTCCAACCCTCACATTATATTTAGCAGAAATAGCAGAGATGTAAAAACCACTATGTGGAACCTTCTAAAAGATGCAAAAGAGTGATTTTTCAGAACCAGCTCTCGCCACTAGAACGCATTGCTAAATCGCCGGTGGGTGGGGGGTACT